TGACTTTACCACAATTTATTATTTTACTGTTGATGGATGTTTGGTTGTTTCTAGTCTAGGCTGACTACAAATAATGCTACTTTGTACATTCTTGAACTTGTCTATGGGGGCAGGCATTTCTGTTAGATATACATTAGGTTGAACCATATGAAATTACCATTTGTGTGGATCAAACATCAAATATTAGTGATTTCATATGGTTCAATCTAATCCCTAGGAGAATTGTTGCATCATAGGATGTACGTATGTTCAATTATAGTAGATCCTGCCAAATAGTTTTCTGAAGATCTTGTACCAACTTAATCTCCTGCAAACAATGTATAATTGTTGTTCTACATTCTGGCCAATGCTTGATATTATAATTTCTCATTGTGGTTTTAATTTGCATTTCCTGGTTACTAATGAGGTTTTGAGCACTTTTTCATTTGTTTGAGCCATTGATTTCTTCTTGTGAAGTAACTATTCTGTGTCATTTGCCCATTTTTCTATTGGGTGGTTTATCTTTGTCTCAATTAGCAGGAGTTCTAGATATAGTCTAGATCTGAATCCTTGATGGGTAAATGTGTGCATATGTCTTCTCCCATTCTACAGCTCAGCTTTTCACTCTCTTAATGGTGTTTTTCTGACTGAGCACAGTGGCTCACGCCTGTAATCCTAGCACTTTGGGAGACTGAGGCAGGAGGATCATTTGAGCCCAGGAGTTCAGCCTGAGCAACATAGTGAGACCCCATCTCTACAAAAAAAATTTAAAAATTAGCTAGGAGTGGTGTTACATGCCTGTAGTCCCAGCTACTTGGGAGACTGAGGCAGGATGATCACTTGAGCTCAGGAGTTAGAGGTTGCAGTGAGCTATGATTATACCACTACACTCTAGTCTGGGCAACAGAGTGAGACCCTCTCTCAGAAAAAGGTGTCTTTTGATGAACAGGTGTTCTCAGTTTTAATGTTGTCAAATGTATCCATCATTTCTTTTTATAGTTAATGTTTTTTGTGTGTTGTCTAAAAACTCCTTTACCCTAAGATCTTGAAGATAATCTTCTATATTATCTTCTAAGAGCTTTATTGTTTTGCTTTTCACTTTTAGGTCTATAATCCATCTGAAGTTGATTTTTGCATGTGGCGTGAAATTGAGGTTCAGTTTCATTTTTCCCCCTAATGGATATCCAATTGTCCCAGGACCAGTTAGTGAAAAGACCATCTGCTGCTTTGTAGTGTCACTTCTGTCATAACTCAGGGTCTATATGTGCCTGCATCTGTTCTAGGTTCTCTGTTCTGTTTCATTGGTCTGTTGATCTCTTCCCGTCCTAATACTTCACTGTCTTAATTACTATAACTTTATGGTAAGTGAGCCTCCCACCTTGTTCTTCTTTTTTTAAGAGTGCCTCGGCTATTCTTGTCCTATATTTCCACGTACATTTTAGAATCAACTTGTCAAGTTTTGTAAGTTTGTTGGGATTTTGGTTGGGATTATATTTAATCTGTCAATCAATTTGCTTAGAATTGACATCTTTATAATTGTTAAGTTTTTCATCTAGGAACAAGGTATATCACTCCATTAATAAAGTCTACTTTATTGTCTATCAAAAAATTTTTTGAGATAAAATTCACCATTTCAGTGATTTTTTTTTTTTATTGAGGTAAAATATACATAACAAAATTTACCATTCAAGCCATTTTAAAGTCGTACAGTTCAGTGGCTTTTAGTACATTCAAAATGTTATGCAACTATCACCAATATCTAATTTTAGAACATTTTTATTCTCTCTCCCCCGCCAAAAAAAAGCCCCATACCCATTAAGCAGTCACTCCCCAAGTCCCTAGCAACCTCTGCTTTCTGTCTTAGAGGATTTGCCTATTCTGAACATTTCATATAAATGGAATCCTATAATATATGGCGTTGGTGTCTGGCTTCTTTCAGTTACACCAATGTTTTTAAAGTTCATCCATGATGTAACATGTATCGGAACTTTATTCCTTTTATGGGTGAATGCTATTCTATTGTATGGCTATACCACATTTTAATTATATGGATATACCATATTATAAATTTATCAGTTGATGGACATTTGTTAATAAAATTGTATAATTTTTTATAGAGTACTCTTTTATCTTTTGTTATATTTATTCCAAGGTAAATGTTTTCAAAGCTTGTAAATTATATTTTTATAAAATTTCATTTTGTTTACTGCTGTTAAATAAGAATATATAACAATGATTTTAATATATCCATTAAGTCTAAAGTTTTGTAAAATCTCGGGCCGGGCGCAGTGGCTCACGCCTGTAATCCTAGCTCTCTGGGAGGCCGAGGCGGGCGGATTGTCTGAGCTCAGGAGTTCGAAACCAGCCTGAGCAAGAGCGAGACCCCGTCTCTACTAAAATTAGAGAGAAATTAATTGGACAACTAAAAATATATAGAAAAAATTAGCCAGGCGTGGTGACGCATGCCTGTGGTCCCAGCTACTCGGGAGGCTGAGGCAGTAGGATCGCTTGAGCCCAGGAGTGTGAGGTTGCTGTGAGCTAGGCTGACGCCACGGCACTCACTCTTAACCCGGGCAAAAGAGTGAGACTCTGTCTCAAAAAAAAAAAAAAAAAAGTTTTGTAAAATCTCTTAATAATTCTAAAAATTTTTCTACAGATTCTTTTGGACTTTATATATACCAGTCATATCATTATAATGAATGAGTTTCATTTCTTCCTTTCCATTTCTTTTTCCTTATCTTATCTTACCCTGCTGATTAGAACCTCTAGTACTGTTGAACCTCTCCTAATGTTGAACAGAGTAGTGATAGCAAGTAGCCATGACTTATTCCTGATCCGAAAGGAAAAGCTTTTAATCCTTCACCATTAAATGTGAGATTTGCTACAGATCTACACATATTTCAAATGATCTTTGTCTAGCTGAAGCCTGATAATATAAGAGGACTCTTTTGTTTTAATTTTTGAGAAACAATTAGATGAGCTCCTGAGAGTACTTTGTCTCTATTCAGTCATTTTTGGCAATCTTGAGGTATGACTTTGGAAGTCACATTGACCTGTTTCCAAATATAGCTCTGCTATATTATATACTCGCGTGATTTTGGTCAGGACTGTAAATCCTTTTAGGGTAGCAACTGTGTCTTATTTATTTGCTTCTATATCCTTAACTCTAACTTAATGCATAGTACATCATAGGGGCTTAATATGTGTATATTGAAAAATGAAGATATTTAATTTGTCTGAGTCTTGACTTCCTCATTTATAAAATAGGGGTAATAATTCCTTATAGGCTTTGTTATGATGATTTTTAAAATAATATGTGTAACATAGTTGGCATGTAAAAAGCATTGAAAAATTTCTTTCCCTTGAGATTTATTTTTCTTTAGCTGAAAAATAAATATTACTGATCTGTTTTTCATCTCTGGGTTTTATGTAACTTCATGGAAACTTGTGTAGTGTCTTTTTTTCATATATTTTAAAGAAGTTAAAAATTTTTTATTTTTGAGACAGCGTCTTGCTCTGTTGCCCAGGCTAGTGTGCAGTGGCATGATCATAGCTCACTGTAACCTCAAACTCCTGGGCACAAGTGATCCTCCTGCCTCAGCCTCCCAAGTAGCTGGGACCACAGGCATGCGTCACCATGCCTGGCACCTGCCTCCACACACAGCTAATTTTTTTCATTTTTTGTAGAGATGGGGTCTTCTTATTGCCCAGGCTGGTCTCGAATTCCTGGCCTCAAGGAGTCCTCCCACCTCAGCCTCCCAAAGTGCTGGGGTTACAGATGTGAGCCACAGCTCCCGGCCTAAAACTTTTAAAAATTAAAAAGGCTGGCCAGGCGTGATGGCTCAAGTGTGTTATTATAGCACTCTGGGAGGCCGAGGTGGGAGGATTGCTTGAATTCAGGAGTTCAAGACCAGCCTGAGCAAGAGCTAGACCCTGTCTCTGCTAAAAGCATGCCACCCGGGCATGGTGGCACATGCCTGTAGTCCCAGTGACTCGGGAGGCTGAGGCAGGAGGATCACTTGAGCCCAGGAATTTGAGGTTGCTGTGAGGTAGGCTGATGCCACAGCATCTAGCCTGGGCAATAGAGCAATACTCTGTCTCAAAAAAAAAAAAAAAAAATTAAAAAGGCTTAAAAATTTTCCCTATGGCTACAAAATATTCTGATGGCTTGAGATGACGGAGAAAGTGTGACTATAGTTTGAAATGAGCTTTTTAATTGCAGAAGGACCCTACAGACAGTGTAGCAATGTTCCATTGAATTAATCAATTTTGTGAGAAGCACAGTGCTACCGTGGTTTTATTTATTTATTTGTTTATTTCTTAACCTACTCTCCAGAAAACTAACATGGTTTTAAATGGAATGTATTAACAGTCTCCTATAAGCACCTGCAATGTTGTGGTGTATCCATGTTATCAGCAACTGGATGACTCTAGTTTTGTTAATACTATATATTTTTTGTAATCATCTTCATTCTTTTGCTGCAGGGAGTCTCTGTCAATTCTGTTGAATTTTTTAAAGAGATGATATGCATGATATTTCTGTTCCACCTGTGGGATATAGCGTATCCTCCTGTGGCTCTGTAAGGAGAGTCAGGGGCATCCTCACACATTAGCATCTGTGTTTGCCATTACCTTTCAGACTCTGGAAAAAGAGGTGATAGGCTGGAGGGGAGTAATAATAGTGAGCAGAAGATAGGTTTTCCAGAGGTAGACTGTGGACTCATGGTGGCTTCGGAAGTGTCTTAAGTCTTAAGAAAGATTTAAGAACTCAAACTAGAGTCAGACCACCCAAAGCTTACGGATATGTTTGACCAAGTGAGTGCAAACCCCACCCCCCCAGTAGCCTAAATAACACCCTCACACTCTTATCTGAGTGGAAAGAGCACAAGCAACATTGTCTGAGCACTTAAGATATTTGTTTCTCTAAAACCCTGTGGGAATTCTTAAGATTGCAATTGATGTTCCCTACCCTGAAGGACCTTCACAATTACTAATGAAGAGTTGGACTTTCTCTTTTTCAGATCAACATCAGTAAATGCCATTATTTAGTGGATTTGGATACCATGAGAGAAACACCCTTGGAGCCAAACTATTCATCCAATAGAGAAGAATGGATCAGCTTGGCCTACAGACCATTCCTTGATGCTTCTAGGTATGTAGTTTAATCCTATGAGATGTACTAGGGCTAGTAAGGGTGAACATTAGATTCTTGGATTGAATAACTTCCAGTCCTGGGCTGATGTTAGTAGCCATCATTTTCTTTTTGTGTGGGCCCAACGCATCTTCTGTTTTTGTCCAATTTCCTAAGACAACTGAAAGATTTCTTTTTCAAGTCACCAGAATGCAAAGTGTATTCTCATATCATCCAAATGAAAGGATCTAAGTAAAACAGATAAGTCTACTGAAGAAGACTCAAATAAGTGTTTTGCATTGATTATTTTGGGCAGCTAACTTCAGCTTTAACCAAGAATATTCTGACACTGTTAGGAAGATTAACTATGTCCTTTGAGGAGCTAGAAGTTCATGTCCGTTATTTTCAGGCCCAAGCCTAGGCCAAGGTTGGTATAGGCCTTATTAGATCTCAAATAGGAACACTAAATAGACCAGGGCTTATCTGGCTCTTCAGAAAGGTCTCAGAATTAATGATAAGAAGTGATCAGGACATTCAGGTGAAGGAATAATGGGGAGGGTAAGTTGGAGGGATCAAGGTGTCTGTGGGCACAGGTCCAGGTAAACAGACAGTTGGAGTTAAGGAGGTTTAGGGAGGCCTGGTGGGCAGAGCTCAGGATCCAAGAGGTCTAGAAGAAAGCAAAAGGTGGAGGCCTCGGTCCTGAAAGGTAGGTCTGAGGCTCAGAAGCTGGGACTGGGCCTAGGACAGGACTCCAGCTAGAAAGAATAAATGAGCAGAGGTGCTGGATTCAAGTCTGAGCAACCAGAATATAGATCAGGATATCAAGACAGGAAATAAAATACAGAGGGAAAAGCAAGGGTCCCTAATTACTGGAACTGAGGTATAAGACTGATTCTTCGTAAGTAGGCAAGAGTGCAGTTATTCTAAGTTGGTTCAGTTAAAGCTGGACTAGCAGGAAGGCTGAGATGCTGACCTGGATACCAGGCCACTAGGTTGGTCTTAGAAGTGAGGCTGGAACTGAGTTTGGAGAGCTGCAGGAGCTGGGCAGGTCACTGTGCTTTTAGACTGAGTCTCTTCAGTGACTTTATCGGCAGTTACAATTGGGAAGGATGGAGGGGATGGTTGAAGAGAGGAGGGCAATCAGGAGGCATCTGAGTTCTAGAACAATTCTTAAATATAGGATCTCAAACCACACTGTCATCCTGTAAGTCTTTCTGTAGCCTGAAGCCATCCCTTTAAATATCTGATACATAATTTCTAGGTGTTCCATTTTCACGTAGTGGGAAATAGTGCTGCTTTTCAACAAATATTTTTTGAGAGCTTGCAATGTTCTAGGTGCTTTATACATATCAGTAAATAAAACAAAGATCCCTGTCCTCATGGAGCTTATTGTTTGGACGTGGGTAGGGGAGACATATAATTCAAAAAGCATAATAAATGAGGGAATAGATTATATGGTATATTAGAAGATGATAAATGCTAAGGAAAAAAATAGCAGGTTAAGAGGAGGATTGAGAGTTCCACTAGAGCTGAGAGTTATACTTTTAGCTAGGGTGGTCAATGAAAAATGATATTTGAACAAAGATTTGAAAGAGGTAAGGGGTTAGATGACCAGGAGAACGGCTAGTGAAAAGGCTCTGGCATTAGAAAGAAACAGGAGGCGAGTGAGGCTGGAGCTGAGCAAGAGTGGAGAATAGCAGGCAGTGTGGTCAGAGTGGTGGGGTGAGAGTGCAGGCTATGAAAAGCTTTGTAGGCTGTTGAAAGGCTTTTACTCTCAATTCAATGGGGAGCCACTGTAGGGTTTTGAGCAAGGCTTGATGTAACTTCTGTCTTAAAAGAATCATTTTCAGTTCTGTGCTAAGAATAAATGGTAGGGAGTGAGAATAGAAGCAGGGAGACCAGTTAGGTGACTATTGCAGTAGTCCAGGAAAGAGATGAGGGTTGTTCAATTCAGGGAGAGGGCAGTGAAGATAGCGAGAAGTGGTTAGATTCAGGATATATGGAAACGCACTGAATTCGAAGTGTGAGAGAAAGAAAGGAATCAAAGGTGATCCCAGGGATTTTGATCTGAGCAACTGGAACAATGAAATTGCTGTTAGCTGAGACGGGGAAGACTGCAAGTGTAGCAGGTTTTAGGGGGCCAGTGAGAGGAGATCAACTTTGGTTAGGTCTGACACATCAGGTGCCAAGCAAAGAGAATTATTGAGTAGGTAGTTAGATACACAAGTCTAGAGGTCAATGAGGAGCTCTGAGCTAGAGATAGACATTTATAATAGAATTTTGGCATTTAGATGATATTTAAAAACATGAAATGGGGTGAGATAACCAAAGGATTGAACGAAGTTAGGGACAAGAAGAGGCTGGGGGAACTCCAGCGTTAAAAGGTTAGGAAGAAGAGGAGGAACCAGCAAAGGTGACTGAGAAGGAGTGACCAGTAAGGCAGTAGGAAAACCAGGAGAGGATAGTACCCTGAAAGCTAAGGGAAGAAAGTGTTTTCGGAAGGAAGGAGTGGTCAGCTGTGTCAGAAGCTGGTGATAAATCAAGTAGGATGAAGAGTAACAGCTGTCCATTAGATTTGGCAGCTGGCAAAGGTAATTTGGGCAGAGTGACAGGGGAATAGGGCCTTGATATATTAGGGGATTTAAAGCAAGAATAGTAGAAGAATTGGGATAGCAAATATAGACAAGTCTTTTGAAGAGTTTTGCAATATAGGGAAGCAGAGATAGGGCTGTAGCTGGTGGTAGGTGTCAGGGAAGTGATAGCTAAAGATTTTTGACCTTTGTAAAAAAATTTTTTATTATGATAACATATATGTAACAAAATTTGCCATTTTAACCATTTTAAGTATACCATTTCAATGGCATGAATTGCATTTACAGTGTCATGCAACCATTACCACTATTTGCAAAACCTAAAAAATTTTTAAAAATTTTTTCATAGACTTTATTTTCTAGAGCAGTTTTAGGTTCACAGCAAAAGTTGAGCAGAAGGCACATACACCACCTGCCACCACACGTGCACATCCTCCTCCATTATCAATGTCAGCCACCAAAGTGATACATTTCTTACAACTGATGAACCTACATTGACACGTCATTATCACCCAAAGCCCATAGTTTACATTAGGGTTCACTCTTGGTATACAGTTCGATGGCATAATGTCACATATCCACCATTACAGTATCATACACAATAGTTTCACTGCTCTAAAAATCCCTCGTGCTCTACCTGTTGTTCCCTCTCTACAGCCCCTGATAACCACTAATCTTTTTACTGTCTCCATAGTTTTGCCTTTTCTAGAATGTCACATAGTTGGAATCATATAGTATGTAAGCTTTTCACATTGGCTTCTTTCACTTAGCAATATGCATTTATGTTTTGTTGAGTCTTTTCATGGCTCAATACCTCATTTCTTTTTTTTTTTTTTTTTTTTTTTTGAGACAGAGTCTCACTGTGTTGCCCTGGCTAGCTAGAGTGTCGTGGCGTCAGCCTAGCTCACAGCAACCTCAAACTCCTAGGCTCAAGCAATCCTCCTGCCTCAGCCTCCCGAGTAGCTGGGACTACAGGCATGCGCCACCATGCCTGGCTAATTTTTTTTCTATATATTTTTAGTTGTCCAATTAATTTCTTTCTCTTTTTAGTAGAGACGGGGTCTCGCTCTTGCTCAGGCTGGTTTCGAACTCCTGAGCTCAAACAATCCGCCTGCCTCGGCCTCCCAGAGAGCTAGGATTACAGGCGTGAGCCACCGCGCCCGGCCAATACCTCATTTCTTTTTGGCTCTGAATAATATTCCATTGTCTGGATGTACCACAGTTTGTTTATCTATTCACCTACTAAGGGACATCTTGGTTGCTTCCAAGTTTTGGCAATTGTCTTAGTCAGACTGCTATAACAAATTGCCATAGACTGGGTGGCTTAAACAACAAACATTTATTTCTCACAATTCTGGAGTCTGGAAGTTCAAGATCAGGGTGGCAGCATAGTTAGGCTGTGGTGAGGGCCTTCTTCCAGGTTGCAGACAGCCACCTTCTTGTATCCTTATGTGGCAAAAAGAGGATGAGCTAGCTCTCTGTCCTCTCCTTGTTAAGACACTAATCCCATTCTAAATTGCTCCACCCGCATGACCTAATTACCTCCCAAAGGCCCACCTACAAATACCATCACATTGGGAATTAGATTTCAACATATGAATTTTGAGGAACACAAACATTCAGTCCATAGCAACAATTATGAATAAAGCTGCTATAAATATTTGTGTGCAGATTTTTGTGTGAACATACATTTTCAACTCCTTTGTGGAAATACCAAGGAGTATGATTGCTCGATTGTATGGTAAGAGTACTTTTAGTTTTGCAAGAAGCTGCCAAGTTGTCTTCCAAAGTAGCTGTACCATTTTGCATTCCCACCAGCAATGAATCAGAGTTCCTGTTGCTCTACATCCTTGAGAGCATTTGGGGTTGTCAGTGTTCTGGATTCGGGGCATTCTAATAAGTGTGTAGTGGTATCTCGTTGTTTTAATTTATGTTTCTCCAATATGATGTGGAACATCTTTTCAAATGTTTATTTGCCATCTGTGTATCTTCTTTGGTGAAGTGTTTGTTAAGGTATTTGACCTATTTTTTAATTGAGTTGTTCATTTTCTTATTGTTGAGTTATAAGGGTTCTTTCTGTATTTTGGATAACATTCCTTTGTTATCTCTTTTGCAAGTATTTCCTCCCAGTCTGTGGCTTGTCTTCTCATGCTCTTGATAGTGTCTTTCACACAGCAGAAATTTTTAATTGTAATGAAGTTCATCTTACCAATTTTTTTTCGTTTGAGACAGAGTCTCACTTTGTTGGCCCAGACTAGAATGCTATAACATCAGCCTAGTTCATAGCAACCCCAAACTCCTGTGCTCAAGTGATCCTCCTGCCTCAGCCTCCTGAGTAGCTGGGACTACAGGCACATACCACCACGCCTGGCTAATTTTTTCTATTTTTAGTAGAGATGGGGTCTCACTCTTGCTCAGGCTGGTCTCGAA